CACGTGTCACGTTTATTTTAAAAATATATATTTTTTTAAATAATATTTTATTTTAAAATAATATTAACGTGACACGTGTCACTTAACGGTTTTTTTAACGGTATATACATAAAAATATAACGAAAAAAAACTTTAGATACCTATTTTTAACGAAAAATTCTTTAGGCACTAAAATATTTTTCTATACATTCTTTAGACACTTATTTTTTATATTAAGCCTTTTGATTTTGATTCTCCCTGATAAATAATTAACGACACAAATACTTATTTTTTTATTCTTGTTTGAATTTCCTCTCGTCAAGAAGATCTGAATTTGTATATTTTGATCTGAAAGACTGAGATTGCCACATTGTTTAGTTAAAGAACGTTTTTGTCTGATCTGTTACGATAATTTTCAGCTTTGATTCTCATGAAGAAAATTTTTGTGCATCTTGCTTTTGACTTGCTTTTTAATAATAAATTAGATTTTTTATAAATAAAAAAATAACGTATACCGTATAACAAAATAATATAACTCCAACATAGAATCTCAAAGAGTGTGAAAAAAATAAATAAAACCTTCAATTGAATATATGCTTTATCTTTTAAAAAAATCTAGAAATTAATCAATGACGGATCTATAAATTTATAAATAGGATCACAAAATTTTAATTCTATTTTTTCAACATAATGGCTATACAATTTTTATTTTTATTTTTTCTTCTTCTCTTATTATATTGAACCATATTTACTAATTAATCTAAAATTATGAGTATACATTTGGCCCCATAAAGAGCTATATGCATCCGCCCCTTAAACTAATAATAATTTGATTATCTCCATTCAAAACTAGACACGATGTTAATATAAACGTTGAGATTTAGATAATCAATATGATATATTATTCTGTTAACGATTTTACTTATTAACAAATTATGACAAAAAAATCTATATATACATAATCATCGACAAATTATAATAAAAATAAATAAACAAACGTGTAATAAGAGCATATAAACAACTATATCATGAAAATAGACATTAATAAACGTTTAAAGAATAATAGAATATACACCGAGAAAGTGAACATTTAAAACACCAATATTTAGTTCTAGACATTATTAGTTCTAGATAAATCTATTAACGAGAATTTTCTACATACACACAATAACTCAAATTCAATATACGACTTGAACTTCATTAATTAAAGCATGGCTTAATACAAAAAAAAGTGCCAAAACTATACCCTTATTCTCAAATAGGTGCTTAAATGGTTTTTTTTACTCATTCAGGTGTCTAACGTTACAAACGTTACCATTTTAGGTGCCTCGACCATAACCGCTGTTATAAAACCCCGTTAAGTAAAACGTATCATAATATCAAAATTTTGAAATTTAATTTTCTTAAAAATAAAAATATTATTAAAAAATAAGAAGTAAAAAACCTTCCCCTGCGTCCCACCCTTTCCCCCTTCCCTCCCCAACTCTCTGCATCGATAGCCAAGGACCAAACGACCGATTAAATGACTGACCAAACAATCGATTATCACATACGGTTAAATGACCAATTATCACGATCAAATTTAAGGGATTGAGTATTTGAGATTTTAGGGATTAGAGATTGAAATTTAGAGATTTGTGAATTTTGTGTTTTAAGATGATGATAAGGTTTGTGACCGTTCATTAGGTGGTAGGCAACGTATTGGTGGTCGATCGCCGACGAATGGGTGGTCAGAGATGACCGACGATTGGAGTTAATAGGATTAGAAAAAGAAATTTTAAGATTTTGTGTTTTTTTATATTTTAGAAAAAATGGGGGCTTTTTCAAAAATAAAACACTTTTACGTTTTTTAAGAAAAATAAAAATATTTCAAAATTTTAAGATTATGACACTTGTCTCTTAACGGGATTTTATAACGACGGTTATGGCCTAAACATCTAGAGTGGTAACATTATAACGTTAGACACCCAGATGAATTAAAAAATAGTTTAGAAATAGAATAAGGGTGTTGTTTGAGCACACGTTTATTTCATTCTATTACAATTTGTGATTTAACCACGAGGATTTGGCATTTTTACCCATAAATAACTCAAATATTATAATATTACATATCATATACCATTTATACAAATTTTATTGATCTAACATCCTTTATGATATGTCACCACTTGGGAAGATGTGTTTCAAAGGTTAGCCTTCTAAGGTCCACATCAAATTTCTTAAAATCATTTTAAAAAAAACATACTTTAAAAAAAATTGAAAAATAAAATTATAGAGACTAACATCATAATTTAATACATATTAGTTCCATGAGTCGAAGAGCTTAATGAGATTAATTTATATAGGCATATTAGAGTATTAAGGTTATGCTTCATGACAATGTGGGATAAAAGTTGAAAGTTGTATTCCTTTAACTTTTTTATCTCTATATGTAATGAATCTACTTCTATACTATTGTTAAATTACATTATGTTAATATTTATTATTAAGGTTTATATTAATTAGAAATCAGTTCGTAATCTTTTTAGCTCTAGTAGACTCGCAAGCTTCTTCAGGATCTTCCGTTATACTTAATCAATTTTCCGCTTAGTAGGAAGCAACAATCTTGATTATCATAGCGTGAAAAAAAATACTTCCAGGTGCTGCTTACATATGTGTTAGACTCTTAAGCTCACCAATTTCAGAAAGAAGAATATCTTGTAGCTTATTACATCTCAAATTACTACAACAAAAATATATAATTAAATAAATTACATGAAAACTACCCATTATCTCATAACCTAGATTTAAAACAAAAGAACATACAATATTTTAAGGCGTTTGAGCCGCCCGAATATAATTAATTGTATATTCGATCTTACATGTGTATACCGATTTCCCTTTGATATATATCAATTTCAAAAGTTAATTTAATATAAACCTTAATAATAAATATTAATCTATAATTATTTAAATATGTTAACATATAAAAAATATCAAATCTTAATTAATATAAACCTTAATAATAAATATTAACATAATATAATTTAACAATATTGTATAAGTAGATTCATTAGATATAGAAATAAAAAAAAGTTAAGGAATATACATTTTAACTTTTATATCACATTGTCAATAAACATAACATAAACACTATATGTTATATAAAATAATCCCATTAAAATCTTTAACTCATGGAACTAATATGTATTAAATTATAATATTAATTTATAGTTTTATTTTTCAATTTTTTAAAATATATTTTTTAAATGCTTTTAGTGAATTTGATGTAAATTTTGGAAGGCACATATCTTGAGATGTATCTTTTCATGTAATGTAATGTCATATCAATTTTTTTAAAAGACGCGCTTTAAGGAATTAGTATTTGGTCCACTTAAATAAAGGCGTGTTTCACGTAACACGTCTTATAAAAAAGTGTTGAATTGATAAAATTTAGAATTTGACAGTTAATATTATAATATTTGAGTGATTTTTTTTTTAGTAAAAAGGCAGGAGGATTTAATGTGACGTATTAAGATCCCAACGTCACTTTTATGTCGGAAATTTATTATTGTTATTTTTCTGGAATGCTCTTCGTGTGCAAGTTAGAGACGCATACAAGACAAGGCCAAGGCTCTGTTTGAGTTGCTTACCCTAAAAGAAAGGAGGAGTTGATGCAGAAAACAGACACTCGATTTGTGCATATGGAGATGAAGCTCTTAAGAGTTAATTAATGCATTGCCTTGCCTGATGAAGACCGTCTCTCTGTAGCTGTGTACAACGAAGCCTCAAAACTTTAAAATGCAGCAACGGCCACACTTTTTTTTTTCTTGCCTCAATTTCCCTTAGTTTAGATTCGGTAGTTCATAAGAAACCCAAGTTGATGCGGACAGAGGTAATCAACTAATAATTGACTAAACTTGCCCCACACATCAAGAATAAGAAGAAGAAGAAGAAGAAGCCATCCGTCTCTCAGGCTATATAAGGCTTATGCAACAATGGGCTAAATTCATGTCTTCCACTTATTGGGCGGGAAACAAAACAGACTATACCTTTAACAAATAGAAAAATGAAAGATTAGTTGAATGACTAAATTGATAATATTTAATTTAATGATTAGTTGAATATTTTATCTTAAATTATAATATCTGTTTTACAAGAGTAAATTATAATTTTATTAGTATTATATTAATTTTAAATGTTAAAATTTTGATAATCATTTAACCTATCAAGATTCTTTTTGCATCTCTGCATATATATAATATTTTTATTGGCTCTCTCTAGATACTCCTATGATGACATATGTTTTGTTTTAATTTAAATAAATTTTTAAATATTTTAAAAATTAAATTAAATTTTTGAAATATGAAATTATTTAAATACACATGATCCAATAAAAATATATTATCCTTGACACCTAAAATTTCTCTTCAAAATCCCTACATATATAATACTTATACATTATGAAATCGAATCAATATTTCGAAATTTATAAATTCTCATTTTAATATTACGTTTTTTTTAGAACTCATTTTAATACATTTGAATAATCATAAATTAATTAAGGGTGAACTGCATGTTTAGTACCTACACTATCAATTTTATTCCGTTTCAATACCTAAACTTTCAATTTTTCAAAAGCATATATAAAGTTTACTTTCTATTTCATTTTAGCACCCATCGTTAAAAACTTAAGTACTAAAATGAAACAAAAAGTTAAAAATAGGGTAATAAAATGAAACAAATTAGGTATGATTTTAAAATAATTGAAAGTTTATGTATTAAAACGGAACAAAAGTGGTACTTTAGGTACTAAACATATAGTTTTCTCATTAATTAATTAGTGTTGATCCCAAACACATATCGTGTCATCATTTAATCGTTACTTGCTTTACCAACCAAGCTGTCCTTGCGTGCAATATCCATCTTCTTCAAATGGCAAAGAGAACCCATCGCTCCAAAATCATTAACTGACGTTCCCATTTCATCTCTATCTTCTTTCACTTTTCAGGACCCAACACCCTAAATCTACGTGTGTCATCTATCCTCCTCCTCCTCCTTCATTCTGTTCTTATCCCAAATATATCTCTTTTCTTCTCAGAAAAAAATCTCACTTGGTCACTATGCCACTTTCCTCCAACTTTCAAGGTTCGTCTTTTTCTTCTATCTTTTTATTTCTTTATTTCTGTTCGATCTTAATCTTTCTTATGTTGTTTAAGCTTTTGGTAAAATATATTCGATGTCTCCACAGATGAAACAGACAAAAATGAAAAGCCTTCTTATTTCAACTCACCGCCTTTGGATGTCTCGGTTGCATTCCCACAAGCAACTCCGGCTTCTGTTTTTCCTCCCTCTGGTATTCATTTCCCATTCATTATTATCTGTATTGCTTACAACTATTGGTTGTGGACTGGTAGATCATTTGATGGGGTTTGACTTTTGCATTTTGTTGTTATCAAACGGGAAGCCTTTATTTCTATTTACATGCCTGTTTTGCTCTTGGGGAAAAATATACAGTTTCTGATTATTATCAATTCGACGATCTACTGAGTACTGAGGAGCAGATGCTTAGAAAGAAAGTAAGAGCGTTCATGGAAAATGAAGTTGCTCCTATAATGGCGGAGGTATAAGATTACAGCTGAATGCAGTGAATTTTAGGGATAATTGCTTTTTATCTCCTTTTACTTGTTTACCAACAAATCAACTGATTTGAACAATTCTCCCCAGTATTGGGAGAAGGCTGAGTTTCCATTCGAAATTGTTCCCAAACTTGCTCATCTTGGGATTGCTGGATATACTACCAAGGTTGGTCCTATTCTAATATTTAGTTTTTTTTTAAATAAAAAAAACGATTTCCTTCTTTATTGAAATGCAAATAAAAAATGAGTATGATGTTTGGTCATTTGTAACATGCAGGGTCCTGGATGCCCTGGTCTCTCTGTCACTACTAGTGCAATTGCAAATGCAGAGGTTGCTAGAGTTGATGCAAGTGTCTCTACCTTTTTATTGGTGCATTCTGTAGGCATGCTTTCTATTGGTGAGATCTATGGATCAACTTTGCTTTTCCTCTACATATTAATTTATGTCACACTTCTTGATTTATTTGTTCTTAGATAACTAAGAAATTATGATCCAACATTAATTGCCTGAACATCATGAATAGCATCATTCGGGTCGGAGGAACAGCGGCGGAAGTATTTACTTCCTTTGGCACAGTTAAAGACGATAGCTTGTTGGGTACATATTTCTTTCTGGCATTAACGTTTTGGGTTTAGGGTTTTGTATCGTTCATCAGCTTTAAAACGCTAAATCTTTTATTGTTTTCTCTTTAGGCTTTGACTGAGCCTGACTATGGAAGTGATGCTAGTCATGTGAATACAACTGCAAGAAAGGTCTGTCCTTAACCTTGTTGATTGGTTTTCGCTTGTCATTTTAGTATAGCAGATTACAATTACAATCACTGCGAAACATTCTTAATTTTCTGATATATCGTGTATCGTATTTGCTGTTGTATTGAATCTTCAGGTAGAGGGAGGTTGGATGCTTGATGGACAAAAACGCTGGATAGGAAACAGTACTTTTGCAGATGTGTTGGTCATTTTTGCCAGGAATACCACAACTAATCAGATAAACGGGCAAGTGAAATAACACTTGACATTGAAAAGAATTTAGCATTTGGTCTTGCACACACAAGTCATCTAATGGAATGCTTGCTAGTCACTACCCGCTCTTTTTCCTTAAATTTGGATGCTTCTGAATTCTGTTTCAGATATATTGTTAAGAAGGATACCCCTGGACTGACAGCTACCAAAATAGCAAACAAGATTGGAGTGCGAATGGTTCAAAATGGTGATATTCTCTTAAAGAATGTCTTTGTTCCTGATGAGGACAGATTACCTGGTCTGAACTCATTTCTAGATACAAGCAAGGTTTGTCCAAATAACCTCTGAGATAATGATAACATTTAATCTAATCTTTCTGCTTGCTAGTCAGCGGATTATAGGCATTATTCATGCAAACTATATGATCTGCCACCGTGCACAAGCAGGTCCTGGATGTTTCACGAGTAATGGTTGCATGGCAACCTATTGGCATATCGATGGGTGTCTATGACATGTGTCTGAGGTATTGCATAGGTGCTGTTATCCGCAATTTAAGCTGTGACATGTCGAGCTTACGAGATGACCTTATTCTTCATTTGCTTTGATGTGTAGGTATCTGAAGGAGAGGAATCAGTTTGGAGCACCATTGGCAGCATTTCAAATTAACCAGCAGAAACTTGCTCAAATGCTAGGTAATATTCAAGCAATGACCCTTGTTGGTTGGCGCCTTTGCAAATTGTATGATAAGGGTACAATGACTCCCGGTCATGCCAGCTTGGGAAAGGTATAAACATTTAAGATTTAGAAACCTGCAAAATTTCATACGAGATTTCAATCTGAATTGCTTTAGCTCTGACAAGTTTTGTGGTAACTAGTCATGGATCACATTGAGGGCAAGAGAGACAGTCGCTCTTGGTCGGGAATTGCTCGGTGGCAATGGAATTCTGGCTGATTTTCTTGTTGGAAAGGTTCTCATTCTGTGCTCTCCAAACAAAAACACTTCGGTCAATTCCTTCAAGAAACATATTTGAGTTTTCAATTTTCTTTTCTGGTGTCAGGCATTCTGTGATTTGGAACCAATTTATACATATGAAGGCACGTATGACATCAACTCCTTGGTAACTGGTAGGGAAATCACTGGTATTGCCAGCTTTAAGGCATCCGCAACGAGCAAGCACAGCCGTCTGTGATCATCGGCTCTCTTCTCTCAAGGGTAGACTGTGTATTTGGGATTTGGATGAACTTTATGTAGGTTGTGTAAATGTAATAAGCTTCGTTATATATTAATGAAGCACATATGATGTAGCAAGTGTAATAATGAATATTTGAAACATTAATTAATAAGTTTTATTATTTTGCTTATAAGTGAGGCAAGTAATAACCCTCGTTGCTATAAATCTCAATGAAAATAAGGGGTGTAAAATCGAGCTGGAACGAATATAGTTATATTCGTATTTGATTGTTTATTGATTGATTTATGTTTGTTTAAATTTTTAACATTGTGTTCGTGTTTCTTCATTTACTTTTGAAGGTATTATTAATTGTTCATTCAATACTTACGAACATATTCATTTATATGTGAACATGTTCGTTAACAAGTTCATTGGAAAATCAAATAGCGGTTTTTATATCGTAGTTTCTGCGGCGTATGGAACTGTTATCGTAAAAAATAGTGGTGTCAAGGGAAACAATGGAATCACATCAATAGCAATGAGTCACGATCGTAATTTAACGGGAGTGACCAACAGCTGCTATTATTCAACTATTTTAATTTTTTAATAAAAATTCATTTTTTAAATCAACTCATTTAAAAAAATTCACAATCACGATATGCAATGACCAATAACATTTGTTATATTTGCAATTACAATGAACACAACACGTCTTAAAATATGACCACAATCGTAATTTATATGTTCTTTTAACATTCGTGATCATATACAAATATAAGGTGTTACATAAATGTTTTTCAAATAATAATAACAATAAGTGCTTGCAACCAAAAGAAATCACTAAAAAATTTTGCTTAGCAAGGACGATGAGGGCGTGATCCGTGGAGCAAATTGCAGCACCACAGCATCATTGCCTTCTCTACTATTTGAGCAAATTGCGACATTTCCTTAACCACAGCGTTAATTATTTCCTTTAACAATTCATGAACACACCAAACTTGGTTTTCAAACAAATGATTAAAAATGGAATGGTGATCGAGTAAAATATCAGCCAGATAGGCTATCAGACAAAACCCACTTATTTCTTTTCTTTCTAGGACTGTTGTCTCTCGTGATTTGATGTAATTATGTGACACAAAATAACCTAAATAGGTTTATTTCATTTTCAAGCCACACAATAGTGATTATTTTTATTTTCGGTACAAGGACCTTCCATTTGTGCTTTATATTTTGCATTTCGATTGACGATCTTGCTGTTACTTTTCATTTCATGTAGGTTCTTGTTTCGAAATCAACCATTGGGGCCTCCTGGGTTTGAAAATGGTTGCATTTGGAGATGCATTGGTAGCTATAAAGATAGGCAAATTTGTGTAATGTTTCCTACCATCCCATTGCCTTTTCCAAATTGTTAAGCATTTACCAGCTCATGAATTAAGCATGTGGGTTCGTAGATTACAATTAATAATGTGGGAGTATCAGCTTTTACCATAAATTAATGTATACCCAATTTGGACAATATGAACTTACCAAGGGTGCTTTGGAGAGATTACGGTTTGTGTTTGATTCAAATTCAAAGTGACACATATTAATTAAATTAATTGAAAAAAGTAAGAAATCTAGTTTGATTAAAAGTAGAACTTTATTTTTTTCTTTTATGTAGAAAATATACTTTAAGTAGATTCCTACTTTATAAGTTTTCTTTATAATCAAGTATATATTCCTATAAATAGATACTAAGGGTAAGTATTAGATATCAAGTTTTTCTTTCTCCAAAATCTTTTTGTATCAGAGCTTCGGATTCAAAATTATGACAATAATAAAGTATGATATTCTGTTATTGGATCAAAACATCAGGTTCTCACTATGGCAGATGAAGATTCAGAATGCTCTTGTACAATTAGATCTAGAGGACTTGATGAGAAGCCTATAACACAATAGATGAATGAGGAAAAGCGTAAGAATCGTAAACTGCTTTGTTATGGGTAAAGTTAGAGCAACTATGCATGTAGAAACCGTTAACCAACAAGTTGTACCTAAAGTAGCGTCTTTATTTGCTCAAGTCGGTGGAAGGTTGATTCACCTCTTGAAAAGCACCTAACCAAATTCAAAGAAACTGTCTCTGATATAGAGACTTCAGAAGTGAAGTATGATAAAAAAATATTTAGGACTGATCCTCTTGTGTTCACTGCCCCCTTCCTACTCATCTTTCGGAGATGCAATCTTTGTACCATCGTGAAACCCTCAACTTTTGAAGAGGTATACAATGCCCTGCACTCGTTCGATAAGATGAAGCATCTTGTATCTGGTTCCAAGCCCTAGGCAGAGGGTCTCGTGGTGCATGGATCGACTAGCTCAAATCTTGGAAGAAAAGGCAAGTGCTCTTTTGGTAGTAAAGGAAAGGGTGAATCAAATCATATAATTGAGGTAAAACTTGTCGTTTTTGTAAAAAAAATAGGTCATATTAAAACAAAGTGTTACAAGTCGCAAAATAAGATACATTCTACAAAGAGACCGGACGTTATGAATGTTATAGAAGATGTAGAGTACGAACTTCTAGTGACTTCTAATGACAATGCAAATAAGAGCGAGGAGTAGACTTTTGACTCTGGGTGTGCCTATCACATGTGTCCCAATCGCTATTGGTTTGTGACCTATGAAGCTATGTTAACAGATATTGTATTGATGAGTAATAATTCATCTTGTAAGATTGCAGGAATTAACAGTGTCAAAGTCAAGATACATGATGACATTGTCAAAACCTTGAGTGATGTTCGTCATGTTCCAGAATTGAAACGTAATCTAATCTCATTAAGTATTATGGACACGAAATGGTATAAATACTTTGTTGAAGGTGAAGTTTTGAAGGTTAGCAAGGGTTCGCTTGTTTTGATGAAGGCAGAGAAAAAGAATGAAAGGTTTTACGTTTTCCAAGGGTTTACGATTACTGGTGATGTTGTTGTTACATCATCCGCATTGTCAGAGGAAGATGTAACCAAGCATTAACATATGTGCATGGGGCATATGAGTGAACTTGGTATGCCAGAGTTAAGTATAAGATGTCTCATTGATGGTTAATAAATTTACAACCTAGAGTTTTATGACCACTACGTGTTTGGTAACAAAGGGGAATCCGATTTGTCAAAGGGATTCACAATTAGAAAGGTACCATATACTACGTTCATTTTAATATATGGGGACCATCTAAAGTTTCCTTTCATGGAGCTGCAAACTACATTTTGACAATCATTGATGACTATTCTAGAAAGGTTTGGTAATTTTTCTGAAGCAGAAAAGTGATGAGATTACCACATTCAAGAACTGGAAGACAATGATTGAGAAATATATTGGAAGACATGCTAAATATCTATGTACTGATAATGATTTAGAGTTTAAATTTGAAGAAATAATGAGCTATGCAAGAAATAAGGGATTGTGAGACACTTGACGGTTCGTCATACGCCATAACAAAACGACATTGTTGAACGGATGAATAGAATGATAATGGAGAGAGTTCGTTGTATGCTCTCTAATGTTGGTCTATCGAAGTCATTCTGGGTTGAAGCCACTTCACTCGTATGTTTTCTAATTAACATGTATTTGTTCATGGCCATTGACAAAAAAACTCTGCAAGAGGTATGGTCTGGTAAGCCTGCGAATTATTTTGATTTGAAGATATTTAGTTGTCATGTGTATACTCATGTAAACAATGGTAAATTATAGCCTAGATCCATAAAGTGCATCTTTGTAAGATATAAATTGGGAGTAAAATGCTATAAATTGTGGTGTCCCGAAACTAAAAGGATGGTGATTAGCAGATATGTGATATTTGATGAATATGCTATGTTGCGAAGATTACCCCTTAATGAAACTACCAAGAATTTATAAGAATCAAAGATCACATAGAAGAAGATGAAAATTCAGTTTGAAACAGGATTCACATCTGACATACTCAGATAGAATATAACTCTTTAGCAACAGTCTGATCCACCGTCGTCTCTTACATAGAATAGACACAAGAGAGAAATCAAGTGACCACATAGGTACGCAAAGGCTGATCTAGTCTCGCATGCTTTTAGTGTTGCGAAAGACATTAATGTGAACTAAAAGCCATCATCCTATCCAGAGGCAATTAGCTGCAAAAACTCAGACAAGTGGATGATCGTTATGCATGGGAAAATAAAGTCACCTCACAAGAATGACACTTGGAATTTATTGAAATTTTGTTGCGAAAAATGATCCATTTAGTGTAAGTGAGTGTATAAAAAGAAGAAAGGAATTTTGGGAGTTGAAAAGTCTAGATACAATGCAAGATTGGTTACGAAGGAGTTCGGCCAAATCCTAGGAATTGACTTTAATTATGTGTTTTCTCTAATAGTAAAAAGATATTTCTATTAGAATTTTGCTTGGAATAGTTGCTTTACAAGACCTTGAGCTTGAAAACAACGCTCTCGTATGGTGAACTTGAAGAAGAAATTTACATGAAGCAACCAGAGGATTTTATGTTCTCAAGAAAGGAGGACCATGTTTATTCACTGAAAAAAATCTTTTTTGTGGGTTAAGTAGTTGCCCAGTCGATGGTATACGATGTTTGATTCTTTTATGGTTTTTCTTGAGTTTAAGCGAATCAATTTTGATAGTTGTGTTTACTTAAAAATGGTCACGATGGTTCACATATAAATATTTGCTTCTTTATGTTGATGATATATTGATAGCTACAAATAATAAAAAAAGAGTTTAGACAGTTAAAGACCCAACTTAATAAGGAGTTTGAGATGAAAGATTTAAGTCCAGCAAAGAAGATACTCAAAATGGAAATTAAAAGAGACAAAAAATCAGGTAAATAATACCTAAGTCAAAAGTGGTACATTGAAGGAGTTCTTCCACAGGTTTAATATGATGAGTGCTAAGCCTGTGAGCACTCCGATGGCAGCTCACATTAGACTTTTATCGGATTGTTCACCAAAATCATATGTGAAGGTAAAGTACATGTCACATGTTCTATATTCGTGTGAATTGGAATCTCTAATGTATACATTGGTTCGTACATGTTTGGACTTAGCGTATACAATTAGTTTAGTGAGTAGATACATGTCGGATCCCGATAAAGAACATTGGAAAGTTGTCAAATGGATTTTCAGGTATCTTCGCATTTGTATTGATGTTTTCTTGTAGTTTGGATGAACTAGAGATGGAGTCGTAGGGTACGTAGATTATGATTTTACGGGAGATCTTGATAAAAGGAGATCACTTACAGGGTATGTCTTTGCGGTTAAAGGATGTTCCATTAATTGGAAAGATACTCTAATTTATACGATTGCCTTGTCAACTATTGAAGCAAAGTACATGACGATCACTGAACTTGTAAAAACCAATCCTGTTGAAATGGCTCTTTGGTGAACTTGGTGAAGACCTTCATATCAGTATGATGTTTTGTGACTGACGGAGTTCTACATTTTTAACGAAATATCAAATATTTAATGAGGGTACGAAATATATTGATATTCGCTATTATTTTGTGCATGATGTAATTGCTTGAGGTGACATTATTGTGAACAAAGTCAACATTCATGACAATCCTGTAGACATGATGGCCAAACCGCTCCCTACAAACAAGTTTGAGCATTGCTTGGACTTGATTGATGTTCATTACTGAAGATTACCCCTTTGAGGGATGTTGTGGAAGAGGTAGAGAACATGCTCGTTGAAGTGAAGAATTATTTTTTGTTGAGTTTGAGTCTCTCATTGAATTTGAGTGTTTTGTATCAAAACCTTTGTACTTTTCAAAATTCACGTCAAGGTGTAGATTACAAAGAAGTAATTGTTTTTTCTTTCAACTTTATAACACATGATAAGTGGATACTTGTTTGTTATAATTTAACCTAAATTATAATTGGTAATTAAGTTGGATTGTATTGTAATTCTAGTAGTTGAAGATTTCTTTGTAATTGACTTTATTTAGTAAAGTAAATATTTATTTTAGGCAAGAATTCTCATGGAAATTTTGACTCTATAAATAAATATTATACTTTAGCCTTTAGAGAATGTGAGAGAGAATTATTTTGGAGAGACACAATCCTTTTTGGAAATTTTGTAACTTTTGAGGTTTATATTACAAAAATAGTTTTGTAAGGATATTGAAAGAGTGTTTTGGGATATATAAGTTTTTGGTATCTATACCGGGTTTTGGAATACATGTGATATCATATATTTTTACACTTTGTGTGCTATATGTTTATAGTGGATTAGATCATGCTCGTGGAGGTAGGCAAGGCTGAAACATGTTAAATGTTGTATCTTGTGTTTGTCTTATTTTACGTTGATATCGTTTTGATTTTTTCACTCTCAAATTCCTAACTTGTTTAATGATGTCACGGAAACAGACAAGAATAGTACTACGAAACTAATTACAAAAGGAAAAGAAGAAGAAAAAATGAGGTGGGGAAATGGGATTAAGATGAGATGTTTTCTCTCTAAAAAAATTACAAGTGTGAATATCATGTCCAAATTCTATAATGGATGGGTTGTCTAAGGAAAAACAGTCTAATATAAGGCTAAGAAAATACTCTACCAGAAATGTTAATATTTTTAACATTTTTGATAGAGTGCTACCAAAATTTTTTTTACCAGAAATATTAATATCGGGCACTACCTAAAATGTTATTTTTTCTACTGAAAATGTTAATATCAGGAATATTCATTTTATGTAACGAAATTAACATTTCCTATGAAAAAAATAACATTTTAGGTTAACATATCTGATATCATCTTTCTTTAATCTTATATTAAACTGCCGTATAACATAACTACATATATGTCTTGTGGAGTTATTATATTATTATATTAGAACTTGACACTGTACCTTCACAATACGTCATTTCCAACTGTTGGGATTTTTCCCTCTCAGCTTCATTGTGTAACAGCATGATATAATGATATATATGTACATGTTGTGTATATGTAATATTTGGGGACCTCGAAAGATACTGTGCTGACACGAGTCCACATCAAGCTTCCTTTGCTGGGATGGGAAACTATACCATATCAAACTTTTACCTGCTTCAAAAAGCTCCAAACTGATCACATTAATCAATGATGTACATTGGTAATAAAAATGGGGATATAGGCAGTTTTCTTTTTTATTTAGACGAAAACTCGTATGTATCTGATTAATTTTGTGGAAAAAGACAAAAACATATTGAGCTTAAAAAAAATGAACAATAGATGTGAAAATAGACACAACGCAAGAAGTTAAAAAAATGAACAAAAATAAATACCACCTCATCATACACCATTGAGTTAAATTCCTCACAGCTTAATTTCCCTCCAAACAGAACATGAGCTTTGCGGCCTCTCCTTCAACCATGATGATGAAAGCTTACAGAGGAAAGCTACCTCTTTCTGTTATCACAGTTATACTCTGCGCTTTTGCATTCATCCCTCTTTTATACACAGAAAGACTAACTTTCATTTCTTCCAATCCCATTCTCAAATCCAAGCCCTGTGCTAGAAGAGATGCTGTTGTAAAACCTAGTAAGTAAAATTTAACGGGCCTTTGTTTATTGTACTAAACTAGTGGTAATATTGGGTTGTCATTGTCCGACAGGTGATCATAAAACTGTAGAGGAGAACCTAGAGAACACCGAATCGACGACAGGTTCGACGCTGAAGAGTGTGATATTACTCGAGGGAAGTGTGTGTTCAACAGCTCTATCAAGCCACTGTACAACGATACTAGTTGTCCGTACCTGGACAGGCAATACTCTTGCGTCAAAAATGGTCGCCTTGATTTCGACTACCATCACTGGCAGTGACAGCCCCACGACTGCAACCTGCCTAGGTGACAAAATTTTTAATTTACAAATGGCTTTGATTCTTGCATGGAATTGAAACCAGTTCTTTTTTGTTTTGTCCGTGAAGATTTGATCCAGAACGTGCACTTAGAAAGCTTCGAGGCAAAAGGCTTCTCTTTGCGGGTGATTCTCTGCAAAGAAATCAATGGGAATCTTTCGTTTGCATGGTTGAGTGGAATATACCTCCAGGAAAGAAGTCTATGAAACCTATGAAAAGTTCGTTCAATCTTCAAAGCTAAGGTATTGAATTTTATTGAGGGGCGTTGTAATCACTTGAAAACAAAGCTAACGTATTTTTCTCTCTCCCTGTTTCAGGAATATAATGCAACCATCGAATTTTATTGGGCCCCGTTTCTTGGTTAATCGAATTCTGATATCGACGTTTTGGATCCGAAGAAGAGAATAGTTGAAGTTGATTCAGTCGCCAAGCACTCTAAACACTGGGAAGGAGCCGATATACTTGCGTTTAATACTTACGTTTGGTGGATGAACGGTCTCAGACTTAAACACTGTAAGTTGTCTGCACAAAACCCTTTAATCTTCTTCAACGAAGCGGTTCCTTGTGGGTTAAGGTATTAATTTGGTACCCATGGAGGTAAGAACAGATGGGGTTCATTCGCAAACGGTGAAGAAGGTTATTCGGAGCTGGATACACCAGTTCCCTACCAAATCGGTTTGAAGACATGGGCCAACTGGATTGATTCTACCATAAATCCCAATAAAACTCGCGTTTTCTTCACAACTATATCCCCTATACACACAAGGTTAGCATCTGAACAGAAAACAAAAATATGAAATTTTCATTTGAATTTGGTAGAAGGAATAATCTGTTGTGTTCGCAGAAGCGATGACTGGGCGAAGAATAATGGGCTGAAATGTTTCAACGAAACAAAGCCGGTGATGAAGAAGATGTGGAGAAGCGGTAGAAGCGAGGACTGGGGGAAGAATAATGGTTAGAAACCTACGGTTAATATCTAGTGGTGTCCGTCTTGTTTCATCCTGGAGTAATGTATGCATGGTTCAATATAGTTTTAAATTTGATTTAATGTCATTGGTGTTCGCAGATGGCGTTTCCATAGAAATTTAAAATTATAATATATTGTAGATTTTTCTATGTATATTTTATTAAAAATATATTTCGTTCATGTCCTTAGATTTTTATCAATTCGTCTTACTAAAATTTTAAAAGTCGATTATTTCTAATATAAGATCATGCTTTCGTCTCTATTTGTGTACATGTACATCAATTTGGTGTGGTGAAGTATTTGGAGGATGCTCGTGGTACATCAATTTCAACTTGTTTGAAAGAGAGCAATCCGGTTTCTATTAGTATCAGCAACTTGTCTGCAGTTGCTCATCAGCTGCAACTTCGGCATCGGATACCTTATACCTTTAAGTTCATACCAGTATGGATGCAAAGGTTTTTCTTTCTTTTTTTTTTGGGTAACGAGACAAGCTTGAAATGCATGAGAGCAAACTAGTGAGTCTATTATATTCATTGTTTTGAAAACCGGACTGGACCGGCCGGTTCAACCAGAAACCGCTGTCTAGTCCAGTTTAATTTACACCGATTGAACCGCTATTAGTGAACCGGCCGGAACCACTGAATCGTTCAAACCAGACCAGTTGAAAACAAAAAAAAAACCGCCAATTTTGTTTTTTTTAAAAAAAATTTAAATCAAACGACGTCGTTTGTTAAACGAGCCAAGTCAAACTCGAGTATTGATGAGCTCGACTCGAACTTGAAAACTTTAAAAGTAAGCTCAACTCGACTCAAACTCACGAGCTAAAAATTATCAAGTTCAACTTGAACTCGAAATATAATATTGAAACTTGAACTCGAAAAGGCTTGAACTAAAAAAAATTTAGAAGCTCGATTGAAGCCTAAAATTCGAGCTTGATTAAAGTGAAAAAATAGTTTACTCAATGCTCACCAAAAGGCTTCATGATTTTGAATGTCAAATTACCTCTATTATTTATAGAAGTTAGTTGAGATGTTGTTCTATGTTTCTTAGCCATGTGGGATTGTTTTGTTCTCATATTTTTACTCTTTAGACTTTTGGGATGCTCTTCTATGTTTGTTAGCCATGTGAGATTGTTTTTTTTAAAAAAAAATTAAACCAAACAATATCATTTTATTATGATTTTTTTAACCCCAAATTTATTTTTTAATTATAGTTATATAATTATATTTATTATTTAATATGATTTACTTTATATATTATGTTATAGTTAATTTGAATCATTTTGTTTCACTTGATTTTATGATTTTTAACTTATATATATTATGATTTGCTTTGAATATGACTTGTGATATAAAAAATTATTTTTTTATTAAATATTTTTGATATTTTTATTTAATTTTTTATATAATTATGACGTCGTCCGGTTCTTCCAACCGGTCGGACTGGTCCGACCGGTTGAATCAGTGAATCGGTAGCATGACCGGTTCGCTAACCGATCCGGTTCTGAAAACCATGATTATATTCTACAGCCGATAAATAAAATTTTAGTTCAACATTTGGCATGATAAAACAAAGTAATTGAACTAATTCATCACATAATACAAAACGGCATAGCTGAAACTCAAAACCAATGCATATCCGCATCTAATTACAAGTTGATGGTTACTCCTCTTGCACCATTGACGTAAGGCGAAGGTGAAGTCATCTCCGAGGCATGCCAACCATGCTTTCTTTGGTCGTATTGTTCTCCATCGCCCCAAAGAGCATACGCTTCTTCTCCATGGACGGCATCATCTCCGATCTCGAGCTGGTTATCCGGCATTTTCAATGGTATAAACAGCCTTATCACTAGTAGAATCAACGTCGTGGACATTACATTCCAACCAATAACAAACAAGGCCGCTACTATTTGCTTCGCGAAGTGAACCCCTCCGTTCCCGCCATAAAATGCACCCCTCGTGTCCCTCGGAAGTATTAGCTTGCAGAGGTTCGGCTCCGCCAGTAGCCCCGTGACGAGACCACCCATCAAGCCGGCCACCGCGTGCGTGTGAAATACTCCCAGAGCATCATCTACCTGTGGCCATATGATTATGCAAAAGTGTGAAAACATGACAATCAGATAACTTTGATGGATTCAACATTAGGGTGCTAAATAATGGTCAACAATCAACTGCTATGCTAATGATATGGTATAAATAAAAGTGCTCAGAATTCCACCACCGAAGGGGACTGGAAAAATAATTAAATCATTTCCAAGTTGAGGCGATGATTTAACATTTATGGCATTTGGTCATTGTGGTGGGATCAAAAATCAAAAGTGAACCTTTTTGTTGGGACCAGTACTCCCCTAAATTCAATGACCTTGGACAATTCTCAGTTCCCACGTGTTGTCAAAGTCAAAATCGGCTACCTAAATTTGTTCTTTTCTATTTTCTAGACATTAATGTGAATAAATTTCAATGGAGAAAAAGAGATGAAACCAACAGCTGGTCGAATTAGATGAGTACGAGTACTGTACGGTCGACATACCTTTTGTAACAAGCTGCATTTCTTGTGAATGATCATCATGGATACCCATGGAACACTGCCAGCAAGCATTCCCATGACTATAGCGGCCCAGGATTGCACCAAGCCTGCTCCAGGCGTGATGCAAGCGAGTCCGGTTATCATTCCCTGAACGGCTCCGATAACGGAAGGTTTCCCGAAGAATATGACATCGAGACATGTCCAGACGAGAATGCTAGTTGCTGCGGACACATTTGTGTTGAGTGCTGCTATCGAAGAGTCGATGTTTGCGGCATACGGTGCTCCTCCGTTGAACCCTGACCATCCCATCCATAGCAGCCCGGCACCCGCAAGCATCAGCAGGACGTTGTTGGGAGGAAACCGATCTCTGTCGCTTTTGATCCTGGGGCCTACCCAGTATGCAGCTGTGAGACCGGAGATCCCGGAGGAGAGGTGAATCACGTATCCGCCGGAGTAATCGATGGCACCCCATCG